GGCCGCGGCCATGTAAAGTCCATCCAGCATGTCAAGACTCATCGAAGCGACGGAGTGATAGATAACTTGCCGCCCGCGGAGCGAGGTCCAGCGAAACGTATTCGCGCTGCCGACTTGCACGCGAAAGAGGCTTTAAAGCTGCACGCTCCCATGGGCCCTGAAGCGGTCAAACGTCTAGAGGCTGACGTCGAGACCGCCGGCCACTTTGTCCAGATAGCTGTCAGCGTGTTACCAGCATTCCAGACGAGAGCGAAGCGGGAGAGACCCCTTCGCCCAACACCGCTCAGTCCACCCCAGGATGGCATCAATGGGAGAGTGGACCGCTGGGCATTCAGTGTAAGCATTGTCTGAAGGTTGCCCACGAAGGGGCTCCCCAAGATGCCTTGGGATGTTCTGGGGCCCCCCAGTTCGTTCGTCTGGTCGTCCGCCGTTCCCTGGGGCACCTTCTTGTCGGTATGGCCTCGCATGAGATCCACCCCAGAGCCCCAGGGCCTTCTAGGACTAAGGCGAACCGTCTCCAGTTTTTGTGTGTTCGGTGCGGATGCTGGGCTCAGAGATGCTCCCGCAACCTTGATAAGGAGTGCCATCGACCCTCAAGGAAGGGACGCGAAATACTCAGTAAGTATTCCCGAGGACTGGGCCCCAGCAGCCGAGTCCGCCAATTCATCGATAGAGCAGCGGTGGTCACTGCAATGTCTGTGGTTCCCAAGCCGCGCTGCAAGACACTGGCTCGTACGTCAGTGCCTTCGGCCCTTTCCAGTGCCCCCGCCGCCCCCGAGTATGAGCGGAGGCTGGCCGCCCTCGCTGAGCGAGTGCAGGCCAAAGAGGCGTTGAAGGCCGAGGAATAGTCTTGGGCGGTGGCACCCTGTCGCGGGCCCTGGTCAGAGTGTCGGGAGTTTTGTCCTCCAGGGTGACAAGTCCGTCTTTGAGGGGTGCCACTTCCCCCCCCCTTCCACTCGGGGCTGTCCTAGCCGAATCTCGTCGTTAACGTCCTCCTCCTCCTCCTCCTCCTTCCTCCTCCTCCTCCTCCTCCTTCTCCTGCTCCTCTTCCTCCTCCTCCTCCTCCTTCCTCCTCTTCCTCCTCCTCTTCCTGCTCCTCCTCTTCCTCCTCCCTCCTCCTCCTCCTCCCTCTCCTGCTCCTCTTCCTCCCCCCCTCGTCCTCCCTCCCTGCTCCGGCCGTCGCCGCGGGGGAACGGGTCCCGAGGGAACCGGGTCCTGAGGCTTCTCTCCGTGGTCGGGCTCTCGGGGCCCTTCACGGGCCTCGGGGCTGCCGGAGGACGGCTCAGGATGAAGAGCTCGTCCTGGGGGGAGGCCCCGGGGTCCAGGACCCGTTTCCGTCAGGGCCCGTTGTCCCCCTTAGGGGGCCAACTGCGAACCACGATTTCTGAGGGGGAGGGTGGGGTTCGCTTCGTTCGGGAGCTCCCGAGCGAAGTGAACCCCACCCTCCCCCTCAGAAATCGTGGGGGGTAGGGGTAGGGTTCGCAGTTGGCCTCCTCCTCCCCAGCCCTCGTCACCGCTCTCCGCATCCGTGCCTCCCGCCCGCCCCCCGAAGAGCGCGGCAGGTTCGCGGCGCGTCGGCTCGCCGCATCCCCGCCGCGGGCGTGCGCGGCTGAGCGCCGCCGGTGGCCTAGGGACGGCAGGACCTCTGGCGAGCGGGATGGCGCCGGCCGTTCAGGGTGAAGCGGTGCACGTGGTGTCGTGAGCCAAGAGACCCAGACATCGGGCGTCTCGAAAAAATCGGGGCGGAGGTTTTTCATAGTTTTTGGCCTCTCGGGGCCCCCGCGGGGCCCCAGAACCGTCAAAAAACGACTCGGGACGAAAAACCGGTCCCAGGGAAGTGGTCGGGAGGTCGGGGGCCCGCGTTTCGAAAAAATCGAGACGTCGGATGTCTGGGGACGTGGGTCGTCTCGGCGCGAGCCCGCCATCGACCTTCTGGAGGCCGGCGGGGCTGCCCGAGAGCGGCGAGCTTTTCGCCGTCGGTTGGCTGCTGCTCGGGGCTGCTTTCAGTGGAGCCCCTCCGTGGCCCCCCCCCTCCTCCTCCTCCTCCCGCCTCCCGGTACGATCGAAGTGGGTACGGCAAGAGTGGGTACGAAGACCGAGAGTATCGGGCCGGCCGAAAGGGGGGGATAAGGAAAGGGGGGGTTACGAAATCTGCTGCACGCAGCTGGTTTCGGCCCCGCCGCCGGGCCCATTCCTCGATACATGGGCGCCAGGAGGCCGGGAGGCGCCGGGAAAATCAGCTACGTGAGCTGATTCTCAAACCCCCCCTTTTGCTATCCCCCCCTTTCGCCCGGCCCGAGAGAGTAGAGTTGCTGCACATTTTAAGCTGGATTCGCTGTCGGTCTCCCCGTGGACGGTATCCATTTGAGACAGAAGGTCACACCTGCCCAAGAGCGGCCGCTGCTGGCTTTGGACAAAATTTGTGATGGGCATCGTGCCCAATTTCTTCGTACGGGGCTTCTCAGAAACGCTGCGGCCTGATGGGCAGTTCTCTGTGTCTTCGGGGAAGCGTTAAGGAAATTTCAGACCGGGGGATCTCCGAGTCCTCTGAACATGCCCGCCCCTCCTCACTTCCCCCGCGGGTTCGCCGCCGAGGACCATGGTCACTTTCATGGGCCATGGACGGCTGAGAGTCCATGATCACGGACCATGGCCCCCGATGACGTCCCTGGATGACCACTGCCACCGAGGTCCTGAGCACGGACCATGGTCCATGATCAGGGCTTCGGTGGCCCGAAGGGGAGCCCAGCCGCTGCGACCCTGAGCATTTTCGCACCTCCTCCCTCGACCTCCGCCCGGCCCCTGCTCCTCCTCCTGGCCTGTCCGCGGCCGCCCTCCGCCCTCCGTGCCCTCCCCGCCCCTGCCTGCCCCTCGGCGCCGCGGAGCTCCTCCTGCGGTGCCGCCACGCTGGCGGTCGGCTCGGCGTCGGCTCGGTGGCCAGGACGCGCTCGCGTCCGCCAGCCCCGCCGCTGCTGGGGATCAGACGACGCCAGGACGAGGATGACATCGGATGAGGATCAATCGAGAACCTCTGAGATCCCTCGGCTCCAGAGGACGTCTCGGGCGCCGCGGCCTTCCCAGAGAGTCGAACGCCCTGGAACGGATTTACCATCGTTCTAGCCCCGTCCGATGGGAACGCGCCCCCGTGCCTGACCAGTCCCCCCCCCGCCCCCGCCCACTGCCTGCCGGCGCCTCCAGCCGTGAGTCGCCTCCTCTTCTCTGCTCTGGCGTGTCTCCGGCTCGGTGCTCGCACAATCTGTGCTGCGTCTTGCGTCTTTCTCCACATCCCCCCTTCCTCCTCCTCCTCTTCCTCCTCCCCTTCTCCTCCTCCTCCTCGTCCTCCTCCTCCTCTCCTCCTCCTTCTCCTCCTCCTCCTCCTCCATTCCTTTTCCTTAGAAGTAAATTGTCCCAGTCGCACCCCGAGGCCTATTTTTCAAGGTATGCCGGGCGTTTCGCCTGAGACTTCCTCACCATGTATGACCCTGAAGCTTTAAACATTGGCAACAGTTTCGCAGATGGAGGGCGGGTCGTTTTCAAAATGTGGCTCGCCTTGGCGCCGCGTTCATTCGTTCTACAACATTGCAAGAACTTCACGGATGGAGGGCGGGTCGTTTTCAAAATGTCGATCTCGCCTTGGTGCCGCGCACATGTGTTGTACAACTTCGCAAGAGCTTCACGGATTGAGGGCGGATTGTTTTCAAAAGGTGGTTCTCGTTTCAGCGCCGCGTACATTCGTTTTCTCAAAATTGCAACAGTTTCACGCATTGAGGGCGGTTCCTTTTCAAAAAGTGGCTCTCGATTTAGCGCCGCGCGCATTTTCTCAACATTTTCAACATTGCCACGGATTCCCATGATCAACGTACCAGAATTGGTGTTGGACGGATTCAGGATTGTAAGGGTTCAGCAGTCACAGTGAATCGCGGTGTTGAAGTCCCAGGAACGCCGTTCTGGCACGGCAGGATCGTCAAGACGCAACAGTCCGTTTGATCCGTGGCGTTGGGATCCCGATATCAATGTTTTGGCATGCTTCAGGGTCTTCAAACGGTTGTTTTCCAACGGGGCAGTTTCCTCAGTGGAAATGAACCGTTGTAGGGGCCTATGAAGATGGAGCTTTGTGGGAGGGTTTATTCCAACATCGTTGATGACTCCAGGGTCTACACTGGTCCTCCTCCTCTTTCTCCTCCCCGAGTTCCCCTCCGCGCTCCTCTCTCTTCCCTTCGCCTCAGTTCCCTCGTCCCGCGCCCGCCCCCTCTCCTCTACAGCTACTGGGTCTGAACTCCTCCTCTCCTCGGTCCACCGACCACGTGCGGAAGGTGCCCCGCCCTCTCCGTGTGTGCGGTTTTCTGTCGCGTAGGACTTCAGCGGCGCTGACGTGCTATGGCTTCTTCTCAACCGAAGAGTCCTGGATGTTTTGAAACGGTGCTCCCGTCTCAACGTGGACCTCATTTTAGGATCGGCGCTTTGCTCCTGTCGTTCAGAGTGGCGCTCTCGCCCCAGCGCGGGCCACTTTTCTGGATCCGAGTCCCTCCTCATCTTTACCTCCCCGCTCCTTTCCCCTCCTCCGCCAAGCCCTGGTCCTCCTGCTCCTCTCGCTCCTCCCGCTCCTACTGCTGCTGTTCCTCCTCGTCCTCCTCCTTACGCATCCTCCTCCTCAGCGCAGTAGAAAGGGATGGGTGCGAGGGGTATGGTGCCAGAGATGGCGCAGCGGAAAGGGATGGTTGCGAGGGGTATGATGTCAGATATGGCGCGAGCGCGCCTATCTTGCCCTTCCCCCTCTCCGTTTTCTCCTCTCCGCGTCCCTCATCCCTCCCCTCCTTTCTCTCTCTCGCCTTCCCCCCCCAGAGCAGGAAGGTCGGGGCCTCGGCCCGGCGCCAGAAACCTCCGCGGTGTTGCCGCTGTGGGTCGTCGCCGCCGCCGTCGCCGTCGCCGCCGCGGTTGCCGTCGCGGTCGCAGCTGCTGCCGTCGTGGGCGCCCGTGGCCGCCGTCGCCCCCGCGCGCAGGCGCCATGGACGCGATGCCGATGCCCGGGGGGCCGCCCTTGGTGGGTGGGCCGCCCATGATGGGCGGGCCGCCCATGATGGGCGGGATGCCCATGGAAGGCGGGGACTTGGGCGACGGCGCCTACGGGCGGCGGAACGTGAGGCTCCCGCCAGAG